GCATTTTTGAGTGTAAAATAAGGGCCAGCTCTGCTCAAATAAATAATATAGATGTGGAATAAAAAGCTCATTAAACTATTTCCATTAGTCCACTCGTTTTTTAAGCACATCTAATTTGCAACAAATTGAGAGTCCTCTAATATGGCTAGATGGATCCCTGCTCTTTGGTGCCCCCAATCCCAGTGGTAACCCAATGGTGCACGCCCGAGAAAAGGAAAAAAGTCATATAAAATGTTTATTCTCTTTTTATGAGCACACAAGCTGCGGCATATCACACAGTTAAACAATTGCTCTCGACTAGCTGGACATTGTTTTGTCGTGTTTTTGTTGAACACTTGCAGAGGGTATTGTGATTTTTTCTAGATGTTTGCAACGCAGACAATTTATAGTTTTGAAAGTGTATTACAAATTTTGCCACCATCTGTTTGGTTCGCTTCTTGTGGGACGTTGTATTTATTCCTTTTTGTTCCTTGGGACATTTACTTCTATTGTGAGACAGGATTAAGGGTCAGGCTTTTTGATTATAATGTTAGTTGTAGTATCATCGTTGTAGATGGCTACTGGGCAGGACGACAGAACGAGAGTCCTTCCAACGTGGATAAATTTATGTCCAAAAGTATCTGGCATTGGTTTTGCCTTGCCTGCTGGTTATTGCAACAGCCAAAAAGGAAATCTTAAGTGAAACTTGCACTAGAGAATTAAGGAGGCCCAAAAGATACTCGCTCTCTCTGGCCTGGCTCGTTATGTTAACTTAATACGGAAGTCAGCTCGGAAGTGCCACAAAGAATTTCAAGGCATTGTAAGGGGTTAGCTCGCTAGTAATTGTCGGAGTATTACTTCTTAGTTTTATCCCTATGCTCCCATGCGGCGAACATTTCACTTTGAAACTTTTATGTAGCAGAGTACGAAAGTGTCAAGTGCCCAAATAGTGGAAAAATATTCCCATAGCTTATCAGCTTTTTAGGAGGCATAGGCGGAGAATAATCGCTCGCCTGTCTTTGGGCTGTGAGCTGTCAACGATCTCATTCGTTTTTCCCGAATAACCGAATCGTTCGGCTGTATTCGGCATTAGCGGACAGGAAGTCAGCTGTGCGCTATGGCACTAACTAAACAAAGACATGCCCCATGACTACTTCACCTTTCCATCCCATTAATTCTGGAAGGTGTAGAGATGGAAGATTTAGGAATACAAATACAAATTACATATACCATTATGCCGAAAGAATCGCACAGAACTTGGGACAGTCCCCACACTGAATCCCGACTGTAACTGATAGCTATGTTTATTCAGATGACGCAGACACCATTCTTCTGCCCAGACACTCTGGTGGGATTCCACAAACAAGTGGCTAAGTGGCAGTATCCTTGAACCAGGTGCTGGTGCTAAGAGCAACGTGGCTGGAGGTTGCTCTCCTTGTTTGGGGATTTAAGTTACATTAAAATGGCTTGGAACCTTTGATTAGCTCCCCTGAAATTAGTATTGTTTCAAGTGCCATTTACACTTTGAGAAGAATAAGGTTGATGTTTTTGTTGCCATTTACTGAATGACTGATTTTTTTGATATCTCATTAACGAGAATTTACAGTCAAACCATGTATTGTTTTAGGAAATACTATTATCCTTTGCATTTCGAAAACATTTTCTATTTATTTTTGTATATATCATTTTCTTGTTTCCACAAATTAGCCCAATCAGTTGGTAAATCTGTTTTATTCCTTTCTTGCTTTCCCGCTTAGCCAAGAGGCAAGTCGGCTTTTTTTCCTGTTATTACAAAAATTATTATGGCCACAATTTGTTTGCGATTTGTTTACCAAATTTATATGTTTCAATTTGCATTTTGGGGAGCTTTTACATTGAGTTTTATACCCGTACTCAAAAAGAGTTAAGGGGTACATTAAATTTGTGGTAAAAATGAATGTGTGCAACGCAGAGAAGGAAACGTTTCCGACCCAATAAAGTATATATATTCTTGATCAGCATCAATAGCCGAGTCGATAGAGCCATGTCTGTCTGTCCGTCTGTCCGTCCGCCCGTCTTGTTTGACGCCTGGATCTCAGAGACTATAAAAGCTAGAAGAACCAAAATTTGTTTCCACACTGCTCATGTGTATTTCGAAATTTCGCCCTGCCCCCTTCCGCCACCACAAAGGACGAAAATCTGTGGCAGCCACAATTTTAAAGATACGCTAAAACTAAAACGCAGTATCGTAGAGAATGACCATGTCTACCAGATTGCTGAGTCTGAATCAGATCGGATCATTATAATAGCCAGAATGAAGAAATTAATTTTCAGTTGCTTCCCCCGCCTCCTTCAGATAGAGACCCGCTACTCATTCTCTTTCTCGCTCGCACACTCTGACGCGTTCAGTGTGCGAGCAACCCCTAGCGGAGGAGATGTAGAATATAAATGGTACATCTATAATCTACATGTTAGATGTAAAATATACATTGTAGGTGTAGACGTAGCTAACAGATGTAGCAAAAAAATTTTTTTAAATTCTAAAATTCGAAAAAATTAAATCAAAATGACTCACTGAGTACGGGTATAAGTAGAGTCGCGTCCCCTGAAGCGACTCGCACGTTCCTTCTCGTTTTTTTATTACACAAATCAAATTTAATCGTCTTCCACGACACAATCATAATATTTATCCAAGAACCAGTCTGGTTTTGTTGTCTGTTTTTATTTGTGTTGACCTTGTTAAATCCCAAAGTGGTTGGCAGAATTTGGAATGTATAATATTGTTATTTTTAATCCGAATGAAAAGATATGTTGTAAGATTACCTTCTTTATAATTCTTGTAGTGGGCAGTTTAGACTCTGAAAATCATACCGAACAGTTTGAGAGATATTGTTTTTACATTCTTGTAGAAGTAATATAAGAGAGCTGGACAGAGAGAGGCGTCAGTAAGAGCTTCTGTAGAAAAAGCTTAAGCCGAGTGAATCGTTAGAAGTTAGGAACTTATATATAAGCTCAGACTAGAATCTTATGATTACCCCGTTATTGGCAGATGCTTTAGGTAAGCTTTTACTATGATCATACGATTGCTACGTTAGTTGTAGAAGTCAAAGTTTCAAAAGTAAAACAGAAGCTTATGCTAGAAACTAAAATTCTCGGTAGGTCATTGCCAGAGGAAAGCTGCTACCGATTATAAGTGCCTCCACATAATATGATAAAAGTGAATCTGTAAAAAGTTACATAAGCAGACACGTGCATATATCAAACCGAAGACACATAATAATTCTAGTGGCTCGAATTGATCAGTGGTGTTAAATAATATAGATCTCAAAAGGTAGCTTAATCCCGTACTAGTGAAATCCTTCTAAAAAGTGTCCATTCTAATGCTGGAAACCAGATTTCTTCCACATATGGAGGAACTGACTGCACGAAAGCGGGGCTCACCGGGTCTGTTTAACAACGTCCGCCGAGATATTAAAACACCGAATAGAAAAAAGAAAATCTTCCCAAATCTACAAGAGCGAACATAGCATGCCAGTGTAAATTTGAGAAAAGGCCCAGCAAGGGAAAATGAGTGCCAGCCCTTTAAACGAAACCTACGGGCCGTAGTTGTCAAATTTGTCGCTTCAAAAAAAAAAAAAACATGTGCGCCGTCAAAGCTTTTTGGTAGCCGTATAAGTGCTTCTCAAACTGCTGAACAGAACATAAACATGCTGACCGTTTTTTATTAAAGCAGAGAGCCAAAACCATGAAGTCTTAATAATTTAATTACATTTTTTTTAGATAATCATTTTTTTTTTTCCTTATTATAAATTTTAGTTTCACATTTTTTTTGCCTCTGCAAACCAAAAACAAACAAAACAAACTGTATACCTTTGTATATTCCATGTTAATAGTTTTAAGTTCTTTCCCAAATAATAAATTTATAAAGGGCCCATATCCAGCGAAATGGTAGGAAAAGAAGATGTAGATGTGGGTGGCTCGAAAGTAAAGACACATACATATATTCATATTATTTTTCCTTTCCTCATTTTCACGTCACCCTTGAGCTCAAAGGATACGCTGGAAAATATATCGAAAGTATGAGTGAGTTACAAGTGTAACAATAATAGTGTCGCCAAACTTTGATTTTTTTTTTTTTTTGTTGAACTACTTGATTAAGAATCTTATATCTATTACCATTCTTACTGAATTTTCACATTTTGGTATTATTATAAGGTCTCTTTCTATAGTTTATGAATTTTTTATATTCACATTATTATAATTCGATATTATACCTATACACATTTAGATAAAAATATACCTAGTTTTGTAATATTTACATAGATTTCTTGCTACCCCACTATAGATAAGAACATGAAGTTTTTTTTCTGTATTAAATGATTATCCACAGATATTAATGAATTACTAAATCTATTGTGTTTGTCCTGAGTAGAGCATGAAGAAGTCCGAAGAAAACGAAAAGGGTTATACTGTCCGTAAGGCGGTATGATATAGGTACGGTGGGTAGAGAGGGGGGTCAAAGTCACCTGATTTCCCCGAGTGTTAAGGGATATAGCCTGACTATTTGTCGGTAGTCGGTTAATCAGTATAACCAAATTTCCGTCGGTTATAAGTTAATTCGAGGTTCCTTCTGAACTTCAATGTGTACCTAAAATATCTTTGCAATTGTGTTCGTATAGCTCTATAGTTAGAGCATAGCTAGAGGTAGAAGTCCAAAATCCTGCTATACCATTGGTGTATGACCATCTAAATGATAGTTACCAGAAACATCGGTAGTTACTATCTTACACCTCTTAAAACTGCACATTACATTCTTTATAATTGCCATCAGAAGGTATATTTTTTGCAAATGGAATTTAATCCCCTTTTTTTGCAAATATTTGTACTCCTTTTATGGAATAAGCCATTATCAGCAGCGCAAAGAATATGGCTGAGATTTTAATTAAATGTTATGTTGTTATCCTGATTACGTGTGCTACACTACACACGACTTACTAATGTTCATATTAGAACCCTTTTACTATCTATCTCTATGTTTTCAGTTTTCGGCTGTATCTATATGTGTCCTGAAAAATGAAAAATTTGTATTTTAGTTAACTTTCAGAACCACTGACCACCTCATTTTCATAACTATTTTCGAGTCATAAAATGAGGTCGGTTGTGGATAGCTTTTCGTGCAACTTTAATAGTGTGGAACTTTTTTCTGGGATTTGTTTTGCCCTTTTGGTATGTTTTTTATAGTCAAACGAGAACTTTGAGCTACAGTTTTCATGACGTTTCCTTTCCCTATCTAGAATTAAAATAAGATTTGGAGAACAATTTTTAATTAAATACTGAAGGCACAAGGCTCTACAACTCTTGTGTTTTAATGAAACAATCCTTCGTAAAAATACTTGAATATTCATACGCGACGTTGACCAGACCACGTCCCGCCACAAAACAGAAGACACGCACACAACAGCGGTAAAATGTTGTAAAAATAAATACATAATTGAATGAGTGAAAGGTAGACAATGCGTGAAAGAGGGGTTGAAAGCCTGTGGTATTTGTTTCGTGTGCAAATAAACTGAGAGAATAAAATCACTAAATGAAACAATAAGAGGAGACAGTGCCAGTCCTGAATCATATCAGTGAGTATAATAATAACGAATCACTTCATATACCATATAGTACTTTGCAGTAGGTTGACTGGAAAATCTTCTAATTGCGAGGCAAGTATCAATTTATTCTGACAGATGCCTAAACAGATGGAACTGTTGGAATGGTGTTTGTTTTTAATCATAAAAGAGGTCATTCGGTTGAAAAACACTCACAACGAATTCATATTCTAAGGGAAAATATGGATAAAATAATACATATAATTCTATGAGAAAATTCATAAAATTACAATTATTTGGGGCATTCTAAATAATTAAAATAAAGCGAATTAGGAAGAAAATTTTAGAATTGAATTTTACTCTGTGGTTGGCAGGCTGTTAGACTTCTGACTTCTGTAGAAAATGATGCCAAAAATGTAGTATTTCTATGCCCTTTTCCTCTTAACTTATCATTTGGAAGAATTTAGATTTATGTTTATTATAAATTTTGTTTTAGATATATTTGCATTGAAGATGTGCCCTTATAGATCCCACTTTCTGTTGGCTCACCAGTGAAGTGCACCCATTATTGCACCCTTCTCAATCTCAATTTACTAATGGTCAGTCTGTGCACCTCAATTATGATTTGATGGGTTCTTACTCGACTGTGTCAGTCGTTGCGTATGCTTCAAACTTGTCACATGGGGCAGATGGAGCCCTACTGAAGTTTCATCCTCAATTCATGTCATTTGGGTGCACTTAAAGCTTCTCCACCTCCGGGCACGAGTGCTCGAATCTATCACCTTGGCACATCGTGTGTGGGCTCTTTGGTGAGTAAATGCAGTGGAGAAATTCTAAATGTTTAATGGTGAGAAGTTAAGGAAACTCTGGTGCAATCAAGTAGACGATACAAAAGTATTGAAGAGGTAACCATCGCGTAAATTGAGATCAGTGTGTGGGAGAGCAATAACCGAAGGCGTGTCTGTTGCTGAAGTTTCAGGAACCCTCCATCTCAGACACACATGGCTGGTTGGCTAACAATTTCAAAGTCATTAAGACGGCTCGGTAAAGTTTTAAAAGAAGAATTGGCCATCCAACTTTTATGGCGAGACCCCACTTTCAAAAATGCCATCAAAATAGACACAGAGTCATCATTCAATTCCATCCCCAACGGGAAACATGCAAAGCTTTGACTAGTGCGATGGGTGATAGGAACAGACTTTAATACGATTCGGTTCTATATTCCCAGATTGCATTGAAGTAATTGAAATTCGAATGATCTATTGCATTTTAATGAATATTATCGACTGTTGCTACGCTGCTGTCCCTCGAGTTTTCCTAAAGAAACAAAGAAATACGAGGCCATGTCAATAACTTTGTCTCTCTGGGCCTGTGCTCTGAGCCTTGGAGTACTCACTGGTATCGGTATGGCAATCAAATGCACTTCGGGCTTAAAAAGTGTTTACGCAAGCCCCTGTTAGGCTGGGTGTCTGTTTGTCCCTATTCCTGCTCTCATTCCGCCTCCATCTCCGACTGATATTTGTTGTAATGGATTTCCATGCTACAGTAGGAAAATTTGTGTGTGCTCCTTCTACGCCGTACGCTGTCTGCCGTATGCTGTCTGCTCGTATGCCTTATCCAAGTCAAGGTTTTTCATTATTTTCAAATGCCATTTGGGCAATCAATTTGTGTAAGAACCAATAAACACAATTTAAGCAAGACCATGTCGAAGGTTGCTTGAAAGTTTCTGCCTGGGGAAAATTTTGTTCTTTTGTTTTGATCAAATATTCTGTTTCTCTACGTCTCCATGCTCGCACCTGTGCACGGACAGATTTATTCATACATTTTTCACACTCAAAACTTGACAAGAACCAGAGGTCACATGAATATTGATGCCAGAAAATCAAGCGGGAAGTGGGGATATTGATTTGGATATGAAAGGCGAAGAAATACTTTAAGCTGTAGCAATAATTAAAATATATATTTTCAAACTATTTTCGGTAACACTACTCGACAAAATCGAACTATTTTTTCCTCAAGGATCCAAACCGACTTTTCCGATAGATATAAGGATTTAAATTTTTTAAAGAATTATGGTTTTTTTTCTATGGCGACTTTTTTTTGAGAATATTTGAAGCTGGTATTTTTTTTAGCTTTTTTCAGAGGTAGCGCTTGTTTTTTTGCATAGCTCTAGTATCTTACGTCTGGTTGTAAGACTTTGCTATTTTGAGATAATTAAAACAGCTAGAAGTTAAGCCCCACTTTGTGATTACAGCTTACCGTCTGGGAAATGCAAAAGTGATGATTTTGTGCGGATTTTTTACGAATTTTGACTTTAAAACTCAGGAAGTTAAAAAAAATAATATCTTGTGTCCTCTATTTTTTGTGTATAGGTGCGTTAATTTGGTCGTTTAAGGTACTGTTCGGCTAAGCGCCGGCCCATGGCAGCGCAAGAGGCAGAGCTAAGCCTTATGCACAACATTGCCTACCTGACTCTGCGCTCTTGAGTCATTTTGCCCTTCCCGAAAATCGTCAGCCGACGAGGCTGTGGGGGGCTCGTCTGCGCAGCAGAGACACTCAAAACTAGCATCATCAAACGTACAACATCGTCGGTTGGCACAGTGACCTGCTACACGTTATTACCTTTTATACAACCCACTATTGTTCTCGCTTCAACACGGTCCACCACGGGTCCGCCTGTTGCTAACTCTTGCCCATACTATTCCCACTCACCTTGCATGGCAAATAAAGAAACTAACATAATCAAACAAACTGTGTTGTGAATTAATCAAAGAACAAATTGTCGATTTAACTCTACGCTATTAAAAAATCTCAATAGCTCAACAGTATCGCTCATTAAAATCTATGGAGAGACTTTGGAGCTAAAATTCGTTAACCAAACTTAAAATATGGAAAAAATGAACAAAAAATACCTTTTGGAAGGCTGCGAGCCCAACTGCCCATTGGGAACAAAAGAACGCGATCAGGTACCAAATGTGCAACCCTTGTTCGCTTGCTTTGTTCCCGCTTTTCCTTGAGGAAAAATCGTGTTAACTAGTGTAATAAGAGATATGTGCCTTTGTTTGCATTGTTAGATATTCTAATATTTCAGCCATTAATTGATTCCAAATTAATATTTTCGAAGGGATTTTAAATTCGAGGCATCTTAACAGCAGCACTCCCTCAAGTTTCAAGTTTCCCTCAAGTTTTTGCTGGATAAACTTTATAAATTTTAAAGTTAAGGTGAGAATGGTAAATGAATTTTTATTGCAGGTATTAAAAGCACTACAGAAGTCAATGCCAATTAGGAAATTTCAATGTTAATCGAGGGGACCCTTTCAGCCAAAACAAATTTTCCTGCAGTTCAGAGATATGCAATGGGCTTTCACCGCGGTGAATTAAATATTTCTAGTTAACGTAATTTTGTAAGTTCACCCAACTGAAACGATTGCAAACATTGCCAGTTTAATAAGTATGAACTTATTTGGAGAGAGTTGATTTGTTGAAATTTAATATCAAAATTCACAGAGAATTATCTGCCCGAGGCATTGAAATTACCTCAATTTTCTGTTATTGATGTTTGATTTTGAAGCAATTTTTTTCGTTTGTAAATGCATTTTTATTTCATTTTATTCATTTCATTTCATTTTTGTTTCATATAAACGATTCAGTGGGTTTTTGTAATGTCATTTACCACAACAAAATTATTGTGTGAACCTCTCAAATATTGTATTTGCATTTTAAAGTTTTATCAAAACTCCCGAAAATTCGTTGAAAGAGCTCTGCTCCCCAATTCACAGTTCTGTTGGAGGGGCGGATCACTTCAGCAGATTCTGACTGCTTGACATATTGTGATAAATGATATGCTCTATTTAAGATGCCACTACTACTGGGGAAGGCTGTGGAAGCTTTAAAGATGGATGAAGATGGTACTCAAAGCTAAGTTTTAACACTGAAACTAGTTTCGCAAAATATATTTTAAGCACTCTAAAGCAGATCACATCTTACTTAGCAGGATTAATTTTGTATACCCTTACTCTAAGAGTTGAGGGGCAAATTATAATTTGTGGTAAAAGTGGATGTGTGCAACGCAGAGAAGGAAACGTTACCGACCCCATAATCATCATTGTACATTGTAGATGTATAATCTACATTTTAGATGTAATCTACATTTGTAAAATCTACATTGTAGATGTAGATGACAGATGTAGAACAAAAATGTAAAATATAAAATATTTTAGAATTCCACTTATATCAAAAGCTCACATATTTATAAACTGACTGAATACGGGTATAAAAGTAGAGTCGTGTCATCAGAAGCGACTCACAACGTTCCCTCTCGTTTATATTTTATTTTGAATGAAATCTATCTATTTGCCATTCTGAAGAATTGCAGATTGCCACTTCCACATTCCCTATCCCCAGAAAAAAGAAAAAATTCATACTCAAATTTATTTATAGTAATATTCTAGACTGCTGATTTGTCTGAAAGTTAAATGAGAGCATGTTTGTATTGTTCACTTTCATAACAAAAATATCCCGAAAAGGAACCAATAAAAAAATAAAAATACAATATTTCCACAAGACACATACATACATACATATACATATATGTATATTCTTTTTGTTTTTACTTGTTTTTGCCGTGCTCCAATTATGATTGTTATACTTGAATGTTAATCGAGCGTGTGAATGGCCCGCATTGTCAGACAACGTGGGGCATGGCCATACAAAAGGGATACAAATAATAAGGCAAGGGTCATAGCCAACGTACAAACCAAAAATAAAGGGGACGATATGAGTTTACTGAATTGCGAGGAGGAATGAATGGGTACTCCGAGATGTCTGTCTACATATCTGTGCTTTCATAACAATCTTTGTCTGTAGTTGCTCACGTTTGCAGCTAAGATATGTGTACATTTTTTGTGTCACTCTGCCAAACACATTCCATATTTATCAGCTCCAACTTTAGGAAATGTGTCGCATAAATTGAGCCATGTCGCATATAATTTTCCCAGATTCAATACGATTCGATTGGACTGCTAAT